TGGGGTGTGGGTGCCGCAGGGAGCGGGAAAGGACAGGCAGGTGCCGCTCTCGGAGTGGTTCCTCAAGAGCTCTGCCTTGCCTTGAGTGTCTTCCCTGAAGGACTTTGGGACGAACTGGTTCTCCGCGGGATGGTCTTTTCCCACTTTATGAGAATGTGTTTGGATCCAGGAGCGCGGGGGTGTGGGGGACAGCAGGGGCTGTAGAGGAGCTCATGTGCAGCCAGTGTTTGACAGCGGTGTGCTGTCTGCAGTGGGGTTTCCTTGGTTGCTGGCAAAGCCAGGAGGGTGCATGTCTAGGGGGGAGCAGAACAAGCTGTTCGAGCCACGCGCTGCTTAAAGGGCAGCCCTCGGGGGACCCCGTGTGCTGTGGGGCCTCTGAAGGCAGCTCAGGCAGCGGCTGTGGTCTCTGAGTGCCCGCGCAAGCCCCGGGTTTACAGGGGCAGAGCTGGCGGGGCCGCAGTGCCCCGGTCCCCTCGCTCCGCTGCGCAGGGGGAGGGTGCGGCGCGGTGCCCGGTGCGGAAACTCCCTTTGCAGAGGGCGCTTGCGGGAAGGTCTCTGGCTCTCCTGCTCTCTGGCTGGCAAAGGGCCATGTGCTGCTCTGCCTGCTGGATGCGTTTCGCTGCCGGAGACCTGGGGAGACTGGCGTTCCCTGGGGAGGGGCAGGGGATGCTGGCTGTCCGAGTGGCCGATCTGGAGGCTGGCGGTGCATTCAGATGGGCTCTGCTGCAGCCTGGGCAGGGCTGGAGCAAATAGCTCACCCAGAACATGAGTCAGGGGGAGTGTGTCTGCCTGGTCCTGGAGGGAGGGCTGGCTGGTCCCTGTGCAGTCCCCCTGCTCTTCTCCAGGCAATGCCTTTGGTGTCCCAGGGCTTTGCTGTACCTGCAGGAGCTGGCAGAGGAGCTGACGTCGGTGTACCAGCCTCCGGCTCCCACTGAGAGAGCCCAGGAGCCAGAGCTCGAGTGTATGCAGAAGAAGCGTCAGAGCCGGAGGAGGAAGGAGGAGGAAACAGATAGCGATGATCCTGCGCGAGATGCTGACTTTGTGCCATCAAAGGAGGTGTTGCTGCAGGCGGAGGAGGAGGAGGGGAGCGACGCACCGCTCAGTGAGGTGTCGGAGCCAGAGCTGGAGGGACTCCGAGGACATGGTGGGAAGGCGTCATCTGCAGGGGTAAGGGCAGGGTCTCTGCCTTGGCCACTTCTTGCCTTTGGCCCTGCGTGAACAACACAAAGTGTCTGAGTTGTCATGTGATGTCCCCACATCCAGCTGTTTAGGGCAGAACAGCCCTGAAGCAGGAGTCGGTTGGGGCGGCGCGTCAGTGCCTGTCAGCCGTGAATCCAGGCATGAGCTCTTTGGGCTTAACTGCGAGCAGAGGCAGCTCCGCGTGGTGGTGGATGGGGACACGGTCCTGGAGGCCGTCATGTAGTTTGTGGAAGTCCCCAGAATGGGACTTTGTGTCTAGCCCAGCGTGACCTGGTCTTGGTGACTGCTGCTGTCGTGGTTAGAGGAGAGCTCTGTGCTTGCGGGCTGCATTGGTGCCGTTTAGGACAGGCGCATCCCTCCGGGGGCTCATGGGAACATTTGGGCAGACAGAGGCAGCCCGGGCTGGGCATGGGCACTTTGGCCGGGTCGTGCTCTGAGTCTGCTCTTGTGCCCAGAGATCCAAGCCCCAGTGCCGAGGCCTTGCCCCCAACGGCTTCCACAACTCCATCATGGCCCCAGTGGAGAAGTGCTCCAGCCTCACCTGCAGCCTGTGAGTGGGGGCTCGGGGTGGCTGGGGGGCTCGGGGTGGGCTGCGGGGAGCGGTGGCTGTCTGTGCCCTGGCTACCATCACTCTCGCAAGCGTGAGGAGAAAGGAGTGTGTGCTCTCGGGAATGCTGGCGTTCTGGGAGCCGCTGGGGATGGGACCCTGTTACCTGCGGGAAGCACTGGGGGTAACAGGGGTGACGGACGGGGCTGGGCCAAGCGGGGGACGCGAGGACAGGGGCTGAGAGCCCTCAGTGCGGGGCTGCCCGTGCTGCAGGCAGGGCTGGGGCTGTCGCTGACATCTGGTGCATCCACTGCAGGCGGGATCAGAAGTACTCGCAGTGGGAGTTTCCCAACTGGATCCCTTTGGCGCACAAGTGGACGTGTCTCTCTGAAAGGTACTGTCGGAGCAGCGTAGGAAGGGAGAGACTGGGAGGGATGCATGTCACAGGCGCTGCCTGCGCTCAGGCAGGTCGCGGCCGTGTTTGGGGTGAGCTGGGGCAGGGAGGGTGGGTGGCCCCAGCCTGGGGCTGGGGGGAGAACGAGGGCATGGTCGGTGCTGTACTCCCCATCCATCTGGTGGGATCAGGCCCCAGCAGGAAGGATGGGGATTTCTTGGTGTGGGCTTTGGAGGTCTCGTGGATTTGGCTGCGGAGTCTTAGTGGCCCTCAGGGTGGCCGGCAGCAGGGCATGCTGGGCTGTGCGAAGGCTGGGCGGGTGCTGGGGCATGTTCCTGTGCCAGAGGGTGGTTGGGCGAGGGGTGGGGGTGAGGAGATGTCCTCTCACCTTCTTCTGCCTCCGCAGTGAAGCTGCCCCATACCTGCCGGCAGAGGAGAAGTCTCCCCTCTTCTCCATCCAGCGGGAGGGCATTGAAGACGACGGTGTCTTGTACAGGGTAAACAGGTCCGTGGAGAGGTGCCACGAGGGACTGCCGGGGTGGTGGGTGTCATGCCTGGGACAGGTAGTAGCCCCCAGGGCTGCGGTCCCGGCAGCTCCGAGGGATGGGCGGCCACCCTGGGGCAGCCGGAGCGGCGGTGTGCTGAGCGGCCAGCCCGTGCAGCGTGCCCTGGGGTCCCACCAGCCCCGTGCCAGGGCTCTGTGCCAGCTCGGCGCTGCCCGGCCTTGCCCGTGCCCTCCTACCCCCACTGGCTCTGCTCTTGCCCCGTGCCCTTACCCGCCTCCCCGCTGGCAGGTTCGGCTCCCTGCAGCCCCACGAGGAACGCCTGGATGTGTCCTTCTTCGTGGGCGGCCCCGTGTGGGCGATGGAGTGGTGCCCGTCCCCGGAGGGCTCAGCAGCCTCTCAGTATGTGGCTGTCTACTGCCACGGGAGCATGGAGGAGACGCACAGCATGGCCGGGCTCCACGGGGGACCTGCGCTCCTGCAGCTCTGGGGCCTGGGCACGCTGCAGCAGGAGCAGGGGTGAGTGTCCCGCTGGGGGCTGCCCGGCTCCCAGGGATGGGCTCGTACCTCTTGTCTCTCCGTGGCTGAGCTGGGGGTGAGGTTCGTCCTCTCCGAGAGCTGCCAGCCCCGTCCTGAACCCCACGGGGGCTGTGCTGGTTGCCAGCTTCGCTGCTGGTGTGTACTGGAGCTGCTGGGCACCAGCTCTCCTGTTCTTCATTGCTCAATCCATGCCTGCAGCTCTGCCGACAAAGCCGGACTGGCCTACGCCATTGCTGCCGACCACGGCTGTGTCTGGGACATGAAGTTCTGCCCCAGCGGTGCCTGGGAGCCCCCCACCGCTGTCAGGAAGGTGGGTGCGCTGCTGGGAGAGGCTGCCCAGGCTCAGGGTGCCGTCTTAGGTTTCCTTCGGGGTTCCGCAGTCCGTGCGCTGGCTAAACCCTTGCCTTCCCGGGCGGGGGACGGTGACCCTGTGGCTGAGCCCGTGTGTCGTTCCGCAGCGCCCGCAGATGAACCGGCTGGGCCTGCTGGCCGTGGCCTTCTCGGACGGCAAGGTGGTGCTGTACGCCCTCCCGCACCCCGGGGCCCTGCAGCGCTCCAAGAGAACCCAGGTAAAAGGTAGGAAGAGCCGCGCTGCCGGGCAGGGGCGTCCTGGCCCTCGTCCCACCGTGCCGGGGTGGGCGGCATGCGAGCCCCGGGGCTGGGGCCCCTCTGCCCACGCGGGAGGGAGCCTGCTGTGCTGAGGGGGGCGTG